CAGGAAAGGATGAGGAGATTATCCCCAAGCACTATTTAGTCACTGCCCTCCTCAAATGAGTCAGTGTCCAGTTGTGAGGACATAAGACATGCTCAATGCCTATACCAAAGTTGTTGTCCCGTGCAATCTTCATTCACAATCATCCTACTTTGGTAAAGCTGTACATGCGATGTGGCCATGTGAATACAGGTTCCCTACGGCAGTGTCGGTGATTATCCTGGAGGACACAGTCCTTTGAATTAGCTCCCAAGAAAGCACTTGCCCAGCAACTTACCCTGTGCACATTGTAAGGATTTAGGAGACTGTATTTTAAGTGTCTGCAAGGGTAGATGGCCTCGATTTCTTGCAGTCATCATGGAAGTATACGACCTTTATTTATGACAGTGTAGAGGCTAGTTGTAGACTGTTCTTTGCTCTGTAGTAAAGCAGAAGGATCTTGATTAACCTTAAAAGCTAGAACAGTGCATTGTTTTCCACACAGGCTGTAATTGAGACTTTTCTCTCGTTTTACTCCACCTCCCCCACTCACCTCCCGGGTCCTTTGTCACACCAAATCAGAGAGCTCTTTCTGGGGTCACAGTCCTACCTCTTAGCACACTGCCTGGACACATAATATTCCCTGCATGGATGTTTGTTCGTTGAGTGAATAAGAAATAAAGGAATGAAAGATGTATTTCCACACATGCATATTCACCAGATGCTCTCCTGATCAGAGCTGACGATGAAGTGGATGTGGAAACTTTTCGTCACCTATTGGTTCTAAGAGGCAGTTGTAGCTTCTAATAGGCATGAGAGATCCAAAGCAATATCTTCTTTCCAATGTTTAACTCCTCCACCACTAGTTTACATAAAAAGCCCATCACTTTTTAACACGGCATATCAGATTGAACCTGCCAAATAACACGGCATATCACATTGAACCTGCCAGTTCTGGCCTGGCCAATCTTAGCATCCTTGTTGGTCCCGGGCACAGGTCAAGCCTCCTTTATACTCCAGGACCATGAACATTCAGTTTTGTCATTGCCTTAACTATTTCAATGATTTGTCGTCCCTAGATCATATATGCTATTTCTTTTTTAATTATTTATTCATGCACACAGAACTGGGGTACAGGCCAGAGGCAAAGGGGTTGTGAGAGGATTCACCAGAGACAGAGTGGGGAGCAGAACAGGCAGATCAACGAAGTACACTGCTGATGGGAGCAGTGAGTGGGTCAGGAGAAGTCTGCTGTGTCATGTGATCACCTCTGGGGCAGGAGACTGAACTCACACTGAAGGGGCTGCAGTGCTGTGCCCCAACCCGCTGCACCACCAGGGAGGGCCTAGGCTATTTCTTAATAACAGCTTTTTGTGAGATAAAATTCACCCATGAAGTGTACCTGTTTAAAGTGTACAATGGGATGTTCAGAATGACAACCATCACCATCACACCTATCCAAAAATTCCTTCACTTTTGTACTACTTTCATCATTTCAAAAAAGGTACCTGTAGAGCCTCCCTGGTGGTGTAAGGGGTTAAATCTCAGCACTATGAAGCTATCTGCAGCCACAGCGCATAAGTTCTAGCCCCAGCCAGGGAGGTGACCGCGTGGCGCAGACCTCTCCTGTCTCTCCTGCTGCTCCCCTGCAGCAGTGTACCTGTTCTGTTCCCCACTCTGTCTCTGGTGAATCCTCTCACAGCCCCTGCACCTCTGGCCTGTACCCCAGTTCTGCTATGCAATAATAAATACAAAAAAAGCACCTGTACCATTAGAGACCATATCTTCTTTCCCTCCATTCTCCCAGCTTTAGGCAACCTCTAATCTCATCTTTCCATCTCTATGTATTTACTTTCTGGACATTTTATATGAGTGGGATCAGACACTGGGTAATCTTGTGACTTCTTCCACTTGGCATGAGGTTTTCAAGAGTTCATCTATTTTGTGGCATCTATCAGTATTTCATTTCTTTTCATTGTCAAATAACACTCCATTGTATGGATATACCACATTTTATTTATCCTCCACCCTTTGCCGAACATCTGAGTTGTTCGTACTTTGTGGCTATTGTGAATAATGCTACCATGAACTTTTATGTATAAGATTTCATGTGGACACACGCTTTCGTTTCTCTTAGGTACATATGTAGGGGTGGAATTGATGCTTCTTGTAACTCAGCGTTTAGTCTGACAAAGTGCTAGGCTGTTTTCCCCAGGCTGCACCATTTTACTTTCCCACCGGCAGTGTATGGTGTCCCAATTTCCTCACCCACACTGTCCTTATATGTCTTTTTTATTATAGCTTTCCTAGTGGGTGTAAAGTAGCAGCTCATTCGGGTTTGATCTGCATTTCCCTAATAGCTAATGAGCATTTTGCTGGGGCTCACTGGCCACTTTTATGTCCTTTGAGAAACTTCTGTTCCTAGTCCTTCCTAATTTTTTGAATTGAGTTATTTATATTATTAAGTTGTAAGAAATTATTATATATGTTCTGGATACAAGAGCCTTTTGGGTATGTGATTTGCAAAAATCTCACGTCACTTTGTGAGTTGTCTTTTTCACTCTTTGTAGTGTCCTTTAAAGCAAAATGTTTTTAATTTTGATGAAGTTCAATGACCTTTGCCTTGTTGCGTCATGTTTTAGCGTTGTATCTATGACACCATTACCTAATCCAGAGTCACAGAGATTTATGCTTGTGGTTTCTACTAAAACTTTTACAGTTTTAGCTCTTTCATTTAGGTCCTTGATCCATTTTGAGCTTGTTTTGATATATCATGTGAGCTCACATGCTGTTTTTAAAACAAACTGAAATGTTAATCAAGAGTTTTTAAAATTATGTGACTATCTTTGGTTTTAATTGAAAAATCACATGAGTATTAAATGTACAATTTCATGAAAAGATATTTTAATGCTTACTGAGGCTGATAGTCTCTATATTTACTTTAAAATCATGATAAGTAGGCTTCTCTGGTGGCCTATGGGTTAAGTCAGTGATATCAGCTATCACCACATGGCCTGAGGCCTGAGTGGGATCCCGGCCAGGGAACTGACTGACCCACATGGCGTGGCAGATCTCTCCTGTCTCACCCACTGCTCCCCTCAGCAGTGTATTTCAGTAGCTCTGCCTGTTCTGCTCCCCACTCTGATGAATCCTCTCACTTTCCATACCTCTGGGGTCTACACTCCAGTTTTTCCTTGCAAAAATAAAATCTTTTTTAAAAATCTAATTAGCTAAGGATTGTCTAAAAAGACCTTTGACATTTTTATTTTTTAAGACAGTTGCTTCCAATCGAGATTTAAATAAACAAAACCATATTCTAACATGCTATTAGTATATAATGGCTATTTTTTGAGATATAGTAAAAACATCTTTATTCTCCTAATTATAAAGATAGGGCTTCAGTTAAACATGACACTTTCAGCCACAGGTGACTTTGCCCAACCGGCAATGTTTGGCAACATGTTTTGTGTCCCACCTGGCGGGAGTGCTCCTAGTACCTACGAGAGCAGAGGGCAGAAATGCTGCCGAACAGTCTCTGGTACTTAGAGCCACCCCGCACCCCTCCCAGCTACCCAGCCCCAGAAGTCTGTGCTGAGCGGGAAAACCCTACTTTAACTAATCCAGTGGCCTCTATCAGAGTTTTCAAAAAGTGATGCGAGTTTGCAATCTTTTCTCCTCAGTCCCACCCTCATGGATGTCTGTTCACAGTGTGGAACCACAGTGTGAGCCTCAACACCGTCAAACCCTTTACGAAAACCAGGCATTTCTTTGCAGGAATCTGTGAGCCAGTACTTGCTTTCTGTGCTTAATTAACTCTTTTATAGTTGCATGTTTACATATTTTGAACTTCAAGCTATATTTCGAGAACACACCCCTGCACACCTTATGTATTTGGGTAACCAGTTACCTATAAAATATGATTTTTTCTGATAATAAAACTGCAACAGTGATCATAAGTAGTAATTTGTGAGTGTTTGGCACCATGTTAAGCACTCTTCCCTATATTAGCTACTTTTTTTCAACAATTCGGAGTGATGCTATTATTCACATTGGACAACTGTCGAAATTGAAGCATAATGAGAACAGGTGACCTGCCCAAGATTACATAGCTGGAGTCATCATCGCCCCAAGTCAGGGCTTAAATCTGATGATGGTCAGCTGTGGGGTGCAGGCATCTCATGAGGCATTTAGATTACTTTTTAGCACGTATGGCCAGTGGGAAAGTTAAACATCTCTCACTCAGTTGAACTACAATAAATGCTCTGCTGCGAGAGAGGAGTGGACACAGCTGGCCAGGAAATTCCATCTCACCAGGGACAAGCCTACTAAAGCATGGTTCACAGTGACCACCAGGCATTTCTGTCAATTACAGTGGACAGTGTCTAAGGACTGGGGTGTCCGTGGCATCACTTAAGTTTTCCATGCTCACTTCAGAATCATTCATGGCTTGATACCCAACCTTCAGGAGCAAGGTTCCAAGTATTTAGCGCACGCAGTGAGATCACGGACGATCAGGAAGGTAGCAAGCAGTTTCAGGGCTTCCGGACTGCAGTTGTGGGGCACAGCCAGCCCGACTGAGGGCACTGCCCACCCCATCTGCTTGTTTCTTGTGTCTGCCTCTTCCTGCCTGATTCTTCATTCAGGCCCCTAACTCAATCCCCTTGGGCTTCTCTCCCCAAGCACTTTATACAATGGATGTGAATATCTTCAGGCATCCAGATTCAATATTACTCAATACTCAGGAGTGGCCCTCTCTGTCCAACCTCTTATCAGCTGACCCCTCACCTCCTCACCTTCAAAAAATCCTCAGCCACTGGAAAAGGCAGGGCCCTTAAGGGACCTGGCTCCTGGCCTAGCTCTGTGCCTTGACCTTTAAAGAAGCAGTCTGATTCATGCGTTCTGAGCTTCCACTGGTTTATTGATGAGTATCTGGAGAAATGCAAGTCTTCAACAGCTAACATCTCTCTCTCTCTCGTTCTCTCTTTCTCTCTCTGTTTTGCCTGCCCCCACAATCTCCACTGTAGAATGCACTGCTGCCCGCAGGCCTGAGGCAGAAGGATCAGACCACCAAGGCGCCCACGGGCCCCTTTAAAAGGGAGGAGCTCTTGGATCATTTGGAAAAGCAAGCAAAGGAGTTTAAGGACCGAGAAGATCTGGTCCCCTACACAGGTGAAAAGCGAGGTACTGAACAATATTGCTCTTACAAATGTGTCACGTCCTGTGCATTTGCTGAGTGCCAACTGTTTACCAGCCCTCCTCGGCTGCCCTCATCCCTGCCTCACCAGGAAACACAAAGCCCATGCTGAAGACACTGATGCATGATGTAGGTTTGGCAGTCTTGGGGTAAACTCCAGAAAGAGTTCTAGCCATCAAGACGAGCCAAGCTTTCTCTTAATTCCCCTTAATGAGGGGGTCCCGATTACCGATTACCGTTCATACAAACCTAGATACTTTGAATGTGAATGAGAGAGCTAATAATCATGACGCAAGGACTTGAGACTTCAAGAAGTCTTGGCCTGTACAACCCAGGAACCAGAAAGAGCCTCTCTCATTCTGTCCATGTTCTTTCCCCAAAGTTCTCTCTCTAGCAGCTACAGCAGCTCTGCCTCCGTCTGTCCCCACCCCCTACTCCCTCACACTCCAGCCCCTCAGAGCCTCCCAGGGTACCCAGGAGCTCCCCAGTGTCCTCCTGTGCGGTGTCTCCCCTGCTGGTTCCCTTAGGCCTGCAGCCGAGCCTCAAACACTCCTACTTCTTTTCCACCTCAGGGCCTTTGAAAGAACCCCTCTGCCTGGAACACTGGTCCAGCTGACAGCACCATGCTTTTTCAGGGCTGGTTCTTCCTCACTTGTAAATGGCATATAATTAGAAGCATAGCTTGGAAGTAGATATACTTTGGTGGCAATCCTGACATCACCACTTCGTAGCTGTGTGAATTAGAACAAGTTTTCAAACCTGCTCTGCCTCAGCTTCCTCATCTTTAAAACGGGGATAAAAATATTGCCAGCCTTGTAAGTGTGTTAAGAAGATCGAGTTAAGATATATATATATAAAACAGAGCCCAGCATCTGGTGCGTAGTGAGCGCTGTGGAAGTATTAGCTATTATTATCCCTGAGGCCTCAACCGTGCGATCTCCTGTTTCAGGGAGCCTTTCCAGTCTGCTGTTTAGGGGAGGCAGTCCTTTCAGCTCCCCCTGCAGCTTTCCTTTTCACAGGGCCTGTGTATGTCCTTCATAGCATTGCGCACTTCCTATCGTCTCCTTATTTATCATGTTTGTCCCTCCTCAGGAAGCTCCACAGGGGCATGGACTTGGGCTGGTTCTGCACACCCAGCAGGGTCTTGGATACAGCAGGGTTCACTGGAGAGTTGTTGAATGAATGAATGATTTTTGAATTAAATAAATGGCTAATGAATTGTGTGGGCTACTTCTTAGAATATAAGCCCCATGAGTACAAGGACACACTTTGTACTCACCTTGGTCATCACGGTACCTAATGAACCCTGGGGCATAATAGTTACCCAATAAGTATTTGTTGAGTCAAAAAGCATTAGTTCTAATGAATTAAGTGTATAAAGGAATTGTTTATTTCGGTCTTTTACCATCTCCCCACCCCCAAGAATGTAAGCATGATGAGCCAAGGGTCCGTGTCTGGGGCTTTTCTCTCTGTATTCATGCTGTGTCAGCACAGTCCCCTTCCTGCAGCAGCTGCTTGATAAGTCATAAAGTGAAAAAGCGAGCAGGAGTAGACACATGGGGGAGGACTCCGAGCTATTCCAAACCCTAGAATTAGAGCTCAAGCCAGATGGTGTCCCAACTTAGAAAGTCAGGGAAGCCCACGGGAATCTGGACGACAGAATGTGGGGGGGATTGTGTGGTCTGAGGCATCCTGAAGTTGGGGAGGTGGTTGCCAGGGGAAAAGGGCCTGCACCATGAGGCCTTTTGCATGACATTTTCAAGCAAGGGAGTGTGTCAGCTGCTTCTGTGCAGCACGTAATAGAGTCTTTTGATTTTGGCGTACCTTAAAACTCTATCATCCCACCTGCACATTTGAAAAATGAGAAACAGGCTGTTGCAACAGAGTCAGTAGCAGACCTGAGTGGGCAGCCAGTGAGGCCAATCACGGCTGGTGTCCACTTCCTTGTGCACCACCATCCCAAGATGTTGAAGAATGGGGGAGTGAGGAGGAGGAAGCAGGGGGCACACAGATCCATCTGCCGTCCCTCACCCAGAATGCTGGCCCCTCAACCTCCCAGAGCCTGCCTGCCTTCCTGGAAGAGGGTAGCTAGAATTCACACTATCTCCAGATAACAAGATACCTTCAAGTTTCATTATGTCACCATCATCACCATTATCATCCTCTGGTGTCACCACCAGCAACAAGTACTTTCCTGATGATTGCTGTAGTCCTTGCAGGTTGAATTAGTGGGGTCTCAGCAGGGAGCATGGAGAAGGACACACTGCAACTCCAGCCAGCAGATTCGCCAGCTACTGCAACATGAGTTCGATCCCCATTCTGAGAGCTAACACATAAGACAAAGCAGACTTTCCCCTCAGCAGTGTATTTCAGTAGATTCACCTGTTCTGCTCCCCACTCTGTCTCTGGTGATTCCTCTCAGCCCCTGTACCTCTGGCCTATGCATAAATAAATCTTAAAAAAAAAAGAATTACATTTGGCTGCATGGGTGGGAGTGGGAAGTAAGAAAAAGAGAGACTTCATCAACATGGCAGTTTAATTTTCTTTTACTTAGAAGAGCTGCAGGCTAAGACATTCCAGGGCTGGTAAGACATCTTACATGATTTAGGAACCAAGACCCTGTCCAGATTTTTATTATGCTACCCTGCAATATGTGCTCGTCTTTATGGTCCATCTGGCTGCTGCTGCACCAGTCATCACATTCACATTCCAGCTAGTCAGATGAAGGGAGAAAAGAAGTCTGAGTCCCTCTTGTATCTGAGAGTGACTGCCCCGGCTGGAGGTACCATCTGCAGAGTATAATAAACCATGAATGTTAGTGTTTACTGATTGTCCATCTTGTCCATCTGAGTCATTGTATTAGTCATTTTCACAGTCATGGATTTCCTTTTCAGGAATTTTGTTTTCTTTGTATGTATTGTCCTTTTGCAAATCCAATGCAAGTTATGACACATTTTCCCCCAAATGTGTGTCCTACTTGTATGGTAGTGGTTTTTACTGTAAAAAATTTAAACAATAAAGCAGGGAGGGTGATTCTTTCCCCTGAGAGATAAGCAGTGACCCCATATCAGTCAACATCCTTCTGGGCACTTTTGTGTAACTGCCTCTCCCTCCTTGCCTCTACCTTTATAACGCTGGGCCCAGTCACCATCATCTCTTGCCTGGCCTATTGCAGGAGCCTCTAAGCCATCTTCTGGCTTCTATCCTGACCCTCTTCCTGGTTATTTTCAGTCAACAGCCAAAGTTAGAGAATGTTAATTCAGGTAAAATTCACATAATATAAAGTAGCCATGTTAAAGTGAACATGTCAGTGGCATTTAGTGTACTCACATTGTGTCGCCATTAATTCTGCATCCATCCCGTTTTCATCGCTGCAGAATAAAGTCCTATACCCATGAAGAGCTATCCCCTTGGCCTGAGCCCCCAGTCTCTGGCAACCACTAGGTTCTAGCTATAGATTCACTTATTCTGGATATTTCCTATCAATTAAATCCCATGTGTCTTGGGGTCTGGTATCTTTCCCCAGCATTGTTTTTAAGACTTGTTCTTTCCCTTTTTCCAGCTGCGTAATATTCTATACCGTGTTTATCCGCTCAACTACTGATGAACATTTTGGTTATTTCTACCTTTCAGCTATTGTGACTAGTATTGCTATGAAGATTCCTTCACAAATATTTGCTTGAGTCCCTGTTTTTAATTCTTTTGTGTATTTACCTTGGAGTGGAATCACTAGATCATTCTGGTAATTCTATGTCTGATTTTTGGGGAAAAATTGCCAAACTATTTTCCAAAACAACTGTACATACCCACTAGCGATATATAAAGTATCCATTTTCTCCATATTCTTATCAACACTTGCTATTTACCACTTTGGCTTTAGGATCTTGACTTACATCTCCCTAATAACTAGGGATGTTGAGCATACTTTTATGTGCTTCTTGGCCACTGACATACCGCTCTAAAAATATGCCAATTCTTTGCCCACTTTTTCATTGGGTTGTCTGCTATTTTTGTTGCTGAAATGTAAAAATCCTTTATATATGCTGGATACTGGACTTTATCAGGTATGCAATTTGTGAGGATTTTCTCTCATTCATCATGTTGTTTTTTTCACTTGCTTGATATGTCCTTTGATGCATAAAAGCTTAAATTTTGATGAAGTCCAATTGCGCTTTGAACTTGTTCTTTGTTGTTATGCTTTTGTTATCATATGTAAGAATAAATTGCCAATCCTAAGTTTCTGAAGACTTGTACTCATGTTGTCTTCTAATCATGTGTAATATTAAGTCCATGGTTTATTTTCAGTTCCTTTTTTGTATGGTGTGAGTAATGGATTCAACTTCAGGGATTCTTTTGCATGTGGATATACTGTTGTTCCAGCACCACTTTTTGAAGAAATTAACTTTACAGTAGATTTGAAATCAGGATGTACAAATCCTCCAACTTTGTTCTTTATCAAGGTTATTTTGACTAGTTGAGGTCCCTTGCAATTCCACTCGAATTTGAGGATTGGTTTTTTCATTTCTGACTGAAGCATTTCTGTCTAATCTTAAATCTTCCTACCATGAGGTTAGGGTATTTTTTCCATTTTTTTTGTGTGTCTTCTATAATTTCTCTTAGCAAGGTTTTATCATGTTCAAAGCACTTACCTTCTTGGTTAAGTTTATCCCTAAGTATTTTATTCCTTTGGAATCTATGTAGATGAAATAATGTTCCCAATTTCCTTTTCAGATTATTCATTGTTGGCATGCAGAAGGAAGACTTGTTTGAATAGGCTGATCTTGTACCCTGTAGTGCTGCCTGATCCATGAATTAGTTGTAAGAGCTTTTCTTGTAGAATCTTCAGAGTTTTCTACATTTAATATGTCAGCTGTGAGTAAGCAATTTTACTGCCTTTCTATTCCTGGTGCCATTTTCTTGTCCATGAACTCTGACTGGGACTTTCAGCACAGTTTTGAAAGGCAACAGTGAAGGTGGCATCCATGTCTTGTTGATCTTAGAGGCTCATTCCCTCACCTCAAGTCAGATTCCAGCTCAGAGACCATGATTCCCGTGAGACCTTCCCTGATGCCTCTCCCCAAAATGGCTGTGCCCACCTCCCCCACCATCCAGCCTGGAATGCCCTAGTCTTTTGCTCCACTTTATTTCCCCTGTAATGTTTAACAACATCTGATCTCTCTACATCTATTATCTGCTGCCTTTCACAAAATTGTAAATTGTTCACTGCTATCCCCTAGCCCCCAGAAAGGTGCTTGGTGATAGAAAACCCTCAGAAATATTTGTTGTGATTCTTCATCCATAGAATTCAACTGTTTGTGTTATTTCAAAAATGTAGTGGTTTTTTTTTTAAGATTTATTTATGCATACAGAACTGGGGTATAAGCCCAGGTGCAGGGGTGGTGAGAGGATTCACCAGAAACAGAGTAGGGAGTAGAATTGGCAGACTGATGAAGTACACTATTGAGGGGAGCAGCAGGCAGGTCAGGAGAGTTCTGTTGTGCCAGGTGGATAACCTCCGGCAGCGGGGATTGAACTCACACCGAAGCAGCTGCAGCTAGCTTGCAGTGCTACATCCTTACCCATTGCACCACCAGGGAGGGCCCAAATTTGGTGTTTCATGCAATATTTCATTTTAGGCATTTTCCTTCTCAGTAAACAGAGATCTACATCATCTTTTATGATTCTGTGGGGACACCATTGTCCGGGCCCCCCAATTGTTTAGTAACCCCTATGGGTGGAATCTGCAGCGGTCATTTTGTGCCTGCCTTTTTGTTCCCTCACTCAGTCATGAGTCCGACACTTTAAAAATATAATGTCCCAGGAGGAGAGGATACATTTTTGTACCCTGTTCCTCTTTTAATAATCTGAGTGTATTTTATTTGTTTTGTTTAGAAATGTTTCTGAATTTCTCTCTCATTTCAGGACTCTTGGCTCCCAGAGCCTGGCTTCTACTGTATTTTTCTTTTTTAACTTTCTCTCTTATTTCTATAAATTAATTTATTTAAATTAATAATGGGTGTTTTCAACAGCCAGCAGTCTGCTTGCCATTCTTCCCAAAGATTAAGGGTGTATTGGTGGTGATCTCTGATCCCTGTCTTTTGGGAAAGTTGGACACTTTGCCCCCAGTGAGGGAAACCTCAAGGCAGTCTCAGCACTTGAGGAGCCCATGGCATCCCCAGGGCTATGGCCATGGACTGCCCCATCACAGCATTCAACAGACTCCATGCATTTGCAGGAAAGGCCTGGGTCCCCAAGCAAAAGCCAATGGACCCTGTGCTGGAAAGTGTGACACTGGAGCCAGAGCTGGAGGAGGCCCTGGCGAACGCCTCGGATGCGGAACTTTGTGACATTGCAGGTAAGAGACATTCTAGAAGCTTCTCAGTTCCTCCACAGGGTTGGCACCCCTTCTGCAGGGAGCCTCAGGTGGGGTATTTCAACATGAACACACTATTTCCAACAAGAACTAAAGAAGACCAGGTGTGTTCAAAGAAGAAGTCTACTATCAAAAACCAAAAGAAATAGAAATAAAAATAAAACACCCAAATTCATCACACAGTGGAGCCATCTGTTGACATGAGACCCTGTAGCCAGGGGGATGTAGATGCTTCCCAGGGAGGGCTGGTGGGGTCCTTCAACAGTCATTGCATCAAATCCTACCCAAGCCACCTGAGAAGGGAGAAAAGCAGGGGACAGACACAGGGGGCAGGCATCTGGGTTTGGGAGACCCAGCAAAGGCTGGACAAAGCCATCGGACTTTACAACTTGCACAACTCAGAGAGCCCAGCTTGTAGGTGATCCGCAACACTCTTCTTTGTACAACACCCTCAACTTCACTTGTGTGCCTGTAGAATCTTCACGAACAATCCTAAAGCCCAGAAGGTGGCCTGAGCCTCAGAGCCCTTGGCTGCCTGCCTGCCATCTGCCTGTAGTCTGTGTCCTGTCCCCACCTAGGGCCACAGCAAACATCTTGTTACTGCCCCCTCCCCCACTTCGTGCTGTGCTTCCTGGCCCAGTGGGTGGTCTTTGTATTCAGCAGATGTGGGGGCTCTGCCTATCTTCTAGATGGCAGGGAGTAGATGGGGTGGAGAGGGAAAGGACAGCTGGGAAAGGCAGAGGCACTGCCAGCCTGTGATTGGCTTCAGGAGTAAGGGGAGGAGTCCAGAAAGGTGCCAGAGTCCCAGCCCCAGAGACTGCGTGGACATTGGCATTGCACCATTATAGCAAAGCCCCGCACACTGGGCGGCACAACAACAGGAATTTATTTTCTCACAGCTCTGGAGGCTGGAAGTCCAGGTGTGAGCAGAGGTGGTTTCTTCTGGGCCCTCTCTCCTTGCCTTGCAGATGACAACACTTGGCTATGTCCCTCTGTGCAGGAGTCCGTCCCCCACAACCCTGAGTCTCTTTTTGTGTCTTACTCTCCTCTTTTTAGTAGGATACCAGTCAGATTGGATCTGTGGCCATACTAACCAGCTATTGTTACTTGATCACCTCTTTAAAGACTTTATCTCCAAATACTGTGATAAAATCTAAGGTACTGGAGGGTCAGGCTTCAGCATAGGAGTTTTGGAGAGACACAGCCAGTCTGTAACAGTGGGGGAGGAACAGGGAAATACCAACTTCCATTTCGGTGCCTGTGGCCCACCCAGTTGGGAAAGTCTTGAGCTTATAGGGATCCATGCTGGAGATGGAGATGCATTCGTGTCAGGTAGAAGACATGGCAGGATGAGAGGCCTGTGGCTCTGGAAGGCAAATGCCCTGGCCAGCATGGAAGTCTTTGGCTGAGGAGTGAAGTGGAGTCATGCCCAGGGACCAGCTAGTCACAAAATGGGAGAGGAGCCAGAGGCTGAATCAAGATAGACAGAACCCAACGCAAGAGCTGGGGAGATAGAATGAGATTCAGGAGTGGCTGAGAGACTGAAGCTTGTGAGGCCAGAGGCCAAAAGAAGCCTCTTATGCCAGGGGGCTGGGCCTGCTGCAGCTGTCTCCTGCCTCATCACATCACAGACTCCTCCTGAACGTTGTCCATCAATCCTGATGGCATTTCCGGGGAGGCAGAAGGGTGGTTCTCATCTGGAGTGCATCTTTTGAGGCATAAAAAGTTCAGACTATGCTCCAGAGGTGGCCCTGGGTGGTGGAGATCAAAACCAGGTTGCAGAGATCCGAGTAGAAGACGGGAGTAGTTTATACATAGATCAGAAACCCAGATCGCCTCTTCCTCAGGAGGCAGAAAACGTGGAAAGGACCAAGGACCGTACTTGAAGGATGTTAGGACCAAGAAAGGTTTTCACTTTTGCTATGAAATACAGCAGCAGTGAGTGGCTCACCCAGATGGAAACAGGGTGCATAACGAGGAGGACTTAACTTATTTGCTGAGCAGTGAAAGATTCGTGTTTTCAAAAGCCACACAAGTTATATAGAGCCACATTAGGCTACTGTATTTCCTACAACCCATTTCCCAGGTAGTGGGGAGGAGGAAGGCCTCCCCTCCCTCTCACCCCAGTCTGGCACTCACCCAGCACTTCCACAGCTTCCAAACCAACTCAGCCAGAGCTGTTTTTATCCCCTGATCACACTCCACTACGTCACTCCCCTCATTAGGCTACTCAGAGAGATGATCAAATGACTCCACTGTCAGAACCCCCAGTTCCTGCCAAAGTACAACTGTAGTATTCTGCTCAGTTTCTGTGTGGATTTCTGGAAATGATTCCTCTTAATTTTTGTTGGTATGGCTAGTGGTTAGTCTCTGCTCATGAGACCATGCCCTCCGATGACCACAAGGAGAATAGAGCAGTAAATCTACGCCATCGTTAGCTGGCCGGCCTTAGGTGCCTGTCATTGTGCACCAGCCATTTCAAAGGCAGCAGGGTCTGGGGAGGGAGAAACTGAACGTTTGTTGACGATCAGTTATGTCCCAAGTGCTGAGGGAGTTGCTTGCTGCACGTATTGACCACAGCTCTCCTATGAAATAAGTTTGATTGGCCCCATTTTACAGGTGGAGAAAGTAGGCCTGATGAGGCTAAATCCCTCACCCGTGGGGTTTGACTCCAGGCAGCTTTGTTCTAGGACCCACCAGCAGCATTGCCATCCAGTGCAGCTGGGTGAGGACACTTCAGTATGCAGGAGGAGGACACACAGGGCCAGGGCCCCAGAGTAACCTGCCCACTGCAGCACAAGGCATTGCCAGCTGTGGTGGGGGAGTGTTGGGAGAGGCGGATGAAAGCTCTCATTGGGCAGAGAGCCGGGGCATTCAGAGGAGGATGGGGGCTTAGAAGCAGGGAAGGGCCAGGTCCAGGTGGGGCGGCTCCATGCACGCTAAGATGTCAGGGTGCCACCAGGCTTTCTGGCCTGAGTCACCGAGAGACGCCTGGTGGCTGCAGGAGAGCTGGTCTGGGCCAGTGGGCTTCAAGAGAGCCTGTGAGGAAGGGAGGTGGCGGGTGCCAGCCTCCCAGGCAGGGCAGGAATGGGGGACACTTGCAGCCCTTCTCCCGGATGACTGGGGCGGTGACTGTGGGTGACTCGGCAGAGGAAGGAAGGAAGGAGAGGTGCAGAGCGCATGGGTCTGCTCCTGGCACGTGACTCCCAGGCAGAGCACTGCCACCACTCAGCCTCCGTTTATTCGCTCATTCACATTTTCACAGGCTTTTGCTCAGGGCCTCAGTACTGGGTGCCAGTCTCCCGATGAGTCCGGTTGAAGAATCCTGAAACTGCAGCCTGGCTCTTGCTCTCACAAAGCCAACGTTAAACAAAGATGTAGGCCAATGTGAAAGGGTAAAGGAGAGTGAGAGGCAGAAAGGACAATGGGATGCTGTGGGATGTGTGAGCAGGGGGCCTTGGCTAGGTGGTAGGTGGGCCCTGAGGGTAGGGATTGACCTAAGAAGCAAGGGTAGGGCTGACCTGGGGGAGTGTGGGAGTCTCGCCTAGGCCAGGACACGTGGGAGCAGGGCTCCGAGCTGGTGCACCTGAGACAGGCTTGGTGCCAGGCCATGTTGGCAGCGTGCAGATGTGCCGCCTGGCTGGCACAGGTGAGGCAAGGCCATGGGGCTCACGCCCCTGAACTTGCTTTCCGGTATGTGCACAGCCATGCATCTGTTCATGGAGTCTCAGGCACGATGGAATTCCTGCTGCGAGCTAGGATGACACTGACCCGCCCCCTGTCCTTGGGGGCCCAGCATGTGATGAGGGTGACAGACCAGAAACGTCAGTCTCAACAGGAAAAGTGGCCCCACATAGTGATAAGGAGAATGCACAGGCCCTGCTGATGCTCAGTTTCTGGCAAATGCCTTGGGTGTAGCTAGGAGGTCACTGGGAAGCAGTGTAAGCACTTGGGTTTATAGTGCCTCCCTGCTATAAGCAGGTGGGTGGAGATGTGGGCTCACCTTTAGGGTCCCTTCCTGGGGAGCAGGATCCAAGAATGAATTGGGTTTGGGAGAGTCACCCTCAGAAGCGCTGACTCCCAGAACACCCCAAGGGCATTGGCACCCCCTAAATCTTGTGTCATTAATGTGGGCCATCCCCTCCCCCCCCCCACCCTGTTTACTCACCTGCGCTCTAACAGTCAGCGGGAGGCGCTGTTCAGCGTCATCCTGTCCCCTGCGGGAACCAGCAACTCCAGCCTGTCCTGGGGCCCAGGAGCACCTCCAGCGCTGCCCAGGCCAGCCCCAACCTGGAGGGTGTCGCCCCTCTCTGCGCCCTAAGTGGGATTGTGAACTGAGTGAACCCTGCCAAGGCGGAGAGAAAAAGAGAACTCGATGTTCTTTTTCAGAGTTCAAAAATAGGACTTTTTCGAATTTTGAGGAAGATCTAGACTTTTTTTTTTAAAAAAAGTCATGTTCCCCAGTGCCAAATTCAGCCTTGCCAATATCTACAAAGGATGAAGCAAGCAGTGGTGATGTGTTTTCTTCCATCCCTGACTCCTGGTGACATGGCCTGTGTACAACAAGGAGAAGGAAAGTCAGGATTCCGTGCCTAGGGTGAGGTGAAAGCGCTGAGCCTCCAGACTTTCTGCTCCATCAAGAACACTTCGCTTGCCCCTCCCTTTCTTCCTCCCTTTTCTCTTCCCCCTCTTTTTCCTCCCCCTCCCACCCTTCTCCCTCCTCCTTCCTCTCTCCTCCCTCCCTGCTTACAATCCTGTTCCTTTGAACTAACAAATGGTTTCATTTCCTCTTGGACCTGCAGGTGATATATATCACCTCCTAGGCTATCTGTTGTCTGTCCTTAGGCTTCCACAGTCAAGGGAAAGTTTAGGAACTTTAGAACTGCCATTTGGGAGGAGTGATAGGAATACTAACTTAGAAACCAGCAGTCTTCCCTGAAGGGTCTTTGACAAACCATTTCTCTTTTGCATCTCCTGAAAGAGTGAGCGGTTGCCAGCACCCGCCTTTAGATGATTTTTGTAAAAATCAACCAGGATGAAAAAATGAGAAATTATTGCATGACCATGAAGTCTTATGTGATGAAAAGAGATCTGCGTTTAAGCCCATTTCCCTTTATAGGTGAGAAAACAGAGACCCAGAAAGGAGAAGTGATCTGGAATGAACAACTCAGAAATCTAGTGCTGGGGCCCAGGTCTGCTTCCTCTGTCCCCTGGCACTTCCTTGTCAGCTTCCTGCATCTGGACCATTATGGAGAGCTGTCATCCGAGCATAAGAGACAGTTTCCATATTCTATCACTTTATGCACTCACACTGCACAGCCATCTGAGCTGACATCTCCCCTGTAATTCTCAGCAACCTTTCCAATCTGTGTTTCCAAACCTGGAATACCAGCACCCAGAATCACTGCTTCTCTGTGGGAGGTGGAAAAGCCAGCCCCAGAGGGTAACTCTAGTGATCCCATGATGTGCCTACTGCTGACTCAGGCCTCCGCTCCTGCTGCCCACGTAGGCACAGCTGAAATTAAAGCCTGGAGAGCTTGAGAAAATGCAGTTGCCTCTCTCCTTATCAGTTCTCCTTAGTGATGAGCAAGCAAGTCTAAATTTAGCAGAGAAGACTCTATAATGTGAGAAACAGTAGGGCTTGGAGATTGTCTCGTCCTGTGGTTCTCAGGTGCCAGTGAGCATCGAAATCCTCCAAGGAGATTAAAAATATATCTCCAAAGAGCTTGATCCGTTGGTCCAGCACAGCAACTGATACCTTCTTAAAGCTCCTGGGTGCTTCATCTGTACAGCTCCGATCAAGAACCAGTGGTTTCTTGTCTCCTCTTTTTAGACAAAAACAAGCCCAGAGAGGGAGAGGACTTGCCCAGGGACACACAGCATCAAGAGCATAGTCAGGACTAGATATTGGTCTCTAGACTGTTCACTCAAGGTTCTCATATGCCTCTAACTAGAACCTGTAAACAATGAAATGGTGAGGGGCGGGGAGGGGGAGAATCAGTAATATCACCACTTTCTGAAAGAGTTAGAAGGGAAATAATTGTTTTCCCTGACCTCTGGAAGCCCACAGCCCAGTAGAGAAAGCATATATGTCCGCAGATACCTCTAACCTCACGCAGACTGTGTGCTATAATAGGACATGGGGTGCAGTGTAAGGACTACAGAGACGGGGAGGAATCCAGGAAAACTCCCTGGGGGAGGAAGCATCATTCCAAATCTTGAAGGATGGGGAGGCAGAGATGTTAAGTCAAATGTAGACTGCTCAATTTAAATTCCAGATAAACAATAAACAAGATTTTAATATAAGTAGGTCCTCAATGCTGAACAGAACCCACTTATATGGAAACTATTCATTATTCATCTGAAATGCCAACTTAACTGGGTGCCCTAAATTTTTATTTGCTAAATCTAGCAAACTTCTGCAGGGGCATTCAGCAGTGGACACATAAATGGCGTAGAATCACCAGGAGAGGGATGCATTGGCAGAAGCAATGACTGTGCAAAGGACAGGTTGCTGCAGTAGGTCCACCCAAGGGACAGAACTTGCCAAGGCCACACAGCATCAAGGACATCAAGAGTCCCACCCAAAGAAGGGACCGTGAAGCCAGACTGGGGGCCGCAAGCCTCCGTCCTCACACCTGAACGGCTGCGGTAGCCTCGTGGCACCCTATGCCCATTGCCTCCTCTGTGATCACTTCGCCCACAGCCACGGTAACACAGACAGTGTCAGGCCATCTTCCTCCCCACTCCATTCTTCTAGGTGCTGCTCCCCAGGCTGCATCTAGAAGGTGTCCCCCTCCATACCTAGAAGACACTGCTAACTCGGCCTTACCTGGCTAAACAAAATGTCTTCCAAGGGGTGGTGAGGATTCAGCCGTGGCTGTCCATTGACACCACTGGGAAATTTTACAAAGGGCAGCTGCCCACATTTTCCTTTCACCCTAAGGATTGCAGTTTCATTGGACCTGGGCACCGGGGGGGTCCGAAGATCCCCACATGATTCCAGTGTACATCCCTGTTGCGAATCACTGATGGACAGATAGTGTGTCCCCTGGCCTGGAGCGCCCACTCAGTGGATGGATGTATTGTTCCCACCCCCCATGTGTCCAAATCCATGTCTGTCCATCTTCCCTTTTCCCTAGCCCCTCCTCGCCCGGACTTCCACGCAAGCCTGGGGCTTTCCCACCTGCCCGTCCCTTTGCCTGGAATATTCTAGCTCCATTCTCTTAATTTGGGCAACCCTTACTACTCCTTGCCATTCCAAGTCCCTCTGTTTTGTTTTCCCAGGACGTGTGAGCATGCTCTGCATACTCTCTGCTTATGTTTTTAACTCTGTGGGGACCTACTTCATGTCCCTCTCTCCCCAATCACACTGGGAGCTGCCTGGGCAGGGCTACTACTTTCTTCTTCTCCACTGTTCGCCACGCCCCACAAGGCTGAGCATATAATGCCAGCACTCAATAAAGGTTGGACAAGTGGCAGATGAAAGGGTGAGCATGGGAGAGATGCAGTCAGATGTGCCCTTCCAGAAAGATCTTTGTGGCTGCTCTTTGCTGAAAGCTGGTGGTGGATGGAAGGAGAGATGGGTATCCAGACACCTGTCATCACACAGCTGTGATGATACAGCCAGAGCAGCGGTGATGAGCTAGAAGCTGGGACAGACACGGAGCACTGCTTGGGGGTGTGGGGGGGACTGTGTAGGGGGCAGGTTGCCATGTGACTGAGGTTTTATCCTCAGGGTGGAAGAAGACATAAAGGAAAAGGCTGTCATGGGGAAGATGCATTCTGTTTTGGCTGAGTTTGGGTGGACATGCCAGTGGGGCGTTAGAGGGTATCTTGGACCCTGAGGCCTGGGGGGTGGAGATGCACATGTGTATAGAAGCAGGAAACAAAAATGAATAAAATGAAAATGTTTTCATGCCATTTCTGTGAGCAAAACTTCCTGGGGTGTGGAATGGGGTGCGCCCAAGAGGCTTTTCCATCTGACAGACGTGACCCACGAGCCCTTCCTGTCCCCACAGCCATCCTGGGCATGCACACACTCATGAGCAACCAGCAGTACTACCAGGCCCTGGGCAGCAGCTCCATCGTGAACAAGGAGGGCCTCAACAGTGAGTACGGGGTCCCCACGCGGGCTTCGCATGCCTCCCTGCCCCCAGCAGCACCCCTCCACGCGAGGGTGGGCCTCATACCTCTCCTTCCTCTGCCCACAGTCTGCATCGACTTTGTGTGTTCATGCAACTAAGTGTGCACACCATCCCCTTGCACTCTCCTGGGACTCAAATTGCTAAATCTTACCACAATTACAATATTCTCAAATTGCTAAATCTTACCAGGAGACTCATTTAATAAATGTTAGTCAGGTTATTGCCTGCAACTAAGGGATGAACTTCCT